TATATGTATTATATATGTGTGGTACTTATTTGAAAGTGCTCAATATCAGTGATAAAGCTAATATATTCAGTTGTAAGGATATGAGTTTGTAATACTGGGTCTCACGCTTTTGCGATCATCAGAGAAGGATTTGTCTGAGAATTGCAAAAGCATGAAACCCAGGGTTACAAACTCATATCAACTAGAACTGAACACATATATATATATATATATATATATATATATATATATATATAATGATATACGTCAAGTTTTCAAGCCCCCCCCAAAATCTTTTTGGGATCAATGGCAGCCTACTGTATGTTTGGGTGTGGGGTCAACCTATATGGTCAGTATAGGCCTAACTAAAATTTTTAGCTAAAAAGTTGAGGCTGACTAGTACAATTTACAATTTATATATATATATATATATATATATATACACTAACCTGTACATTCAAGACATCTTAGTAAAGATATGTTATGACAGGGATTGAACCAGGTGTGCTTTAGGTTTTTTTGTAATAAGTTTTTGAAAAAATTTTAGCCCCACCATTGAATTAAAATACATACATGTAAAGACACACACTATATATATATATATATATATATATATATATATATATATATATATACACACACATTATTGTGTAGTCATTTTTTATGAATAATTACTGTATTTACACTGAATATATTTTCTAATAAATGTACTATATTAAAAATGGACAAACAATTTAGATTTGAAAGTTAATCATCTTGCAGTTAGCAAAGTGACAGGTACTTAGCAAGTTGCAATAGGAAAAAAAATTTTTTATAAAGATAGCATCACAAGATATACTGAAGCTTGCAGCTTCTGGTGAATATGCCGGACAATTTTTGCAACTCTTCTTAATACCACTTTCTGTCCAGGTGAGTGAAAATCAAACAGGTAACACGTGAATAAATAGAAATAAAGACATTAAAAAAGAATTGCAAGGTATGTAGTGTGAGAGGGGGAGTGAACAACAACAACAACAACACCAAATAAATATTGTCTAAGCAATTGAACTTCATTTTAGTATTGCAGTCAGTTTTGTCTTGCTTGAACTAAAATTCCAGTTCAGAAACTGATGTCACAAATTACTTCCACAATGAAGAAAACAAATCGCACGTTGAAACTCTAATATTGGGGGCAAAAAGAAATGTTGAAATCTCAATTCGCAGGTCCTATGTCACAAATCACAATGCACATAACCAGTCAGAAAAATAACACAATCACCGACAAACGCAGTAGCCAAATACACAAATTCAAGAAGACCAACTGCTTTTATCAACAGAGCATTTTTTTTCATTCATCAACAACTGGGAGAGGACACACAATATTAGCATATCCAAGATACTTTTATGGTGAATCCTGCAACTGACTTATTTTTTCTTTTAACTTTGGCTATTCTGTCTTTGGCATATCATGCAGAATACATGCAACACAGTCACTTGGTTTGACTGTTTTCTTCACTACAGGTATACTTGCTCGTTCTGTTATTTTGTTAATAATATTTTTAATTTTATCATATTCTTTCATACTCACTAACCCTTTGCATCTTAGTGGCTTTATTGCCTTGTTTGTGATGAAAGGATTAAAACAAAAATGAAAAAACAAACAAACATAATTTACATCCAGACTAGTGTCATCATCTTGATTGTTATTAACACAATATTTCGACCATTATGCCCACCAGCCTTCTTCAGGCCTACAGCCATATCACATTGAAACACTGCTGCCCATATTATCATCACAGTAATGAAGAACCTGGGCAGTACCTAGCTAATTGACCACTTAGGAATATCAGGTGCTGTAAGCTTGGATGTGCAGGTGGCGTAATGTATAATGGTTTGAAATTGGAAATCAGAGTGACAAGTTCCAATTCCACTTGGGTTCGTTATATTCACTTACATGCAAATACCCTTGGGAAAGTTAAAAACCCACCACTTCTCCCCCACCTATGGGTTAATTAGTAGGATTTCTATCAGTAAATCATTATTATCCAAAATGTTCTAACAATCTCAAGTATTTTCTGTCTTGAAATAACCTGCAAAAGGTTGATAAACTGTAAAAATGCATCACAACTTTAATACAACATTTCAGGCAATCGTCAGGTGTATTCCATGAGGAATGTGCAATACGTTACTCTAAGAAAAACAATGGTGGGTAGGAAATTAGTTATTAATAGAACAACCAGACTCTAATCTATTTCTACAGTGCCAGGTTCATTTAATACCAAAATGATTCTAAGTCATACATGGGGATGTTCGACTCATTTCAGTCAGAAAAGAAAAGGTGTATTGATGAAGGCTGAAGAATGGATCAGCCAAAATGTGTTAACAATAGCAGCAATACAAAAAAAAGGGGTTCAAATGTCTGAATAATATTTACTATGTTAATGACACTTTACAAAAATAAGTATTTAACCCATAGTGGAGGGGAGAAGAGATGGCCTCATACCTTTCTCAGGGGGTATTTACCTATAAGTGAATATAAGTAATAGACAACTTCCCAAGAGGAAAAAAAAGGTTGGTGCAGAAAATTAGTCATTAATATAACCATCAGACTAATCCATTTTACAGTACCAGGTCCACCAAATACCAAAAGGATTCCAAGTCATATCTGAGGAGTTCCGATATCCATTTTGGTCAGAAAAGAAAAAGCGTATTGATGAAGGCTGAAGAATGGATCAACCAAAATTTGTTAAAAATAGCAACAATACAAAAAAAGGATATCTGAACAATATTTTCTATGTTAATGAATCTTTACAAAATGAAGTCTTACTATTTAACCCATATTGGATGGAGAAGGATTCATAACTTTCCCATGGCTATTTGCATGTGGGTGAATGAAATGGACTCAACTGGAATTTGAACTCGACTCATTCCAAACTGCTACCCATTGCAACGACCGCATATCAAAAGGGTAGGACACAGGTTCAATCCCCACTGGAGGACATATTTTTTTTACTAAAATTTCTTGGATGCACAGGTCGATAGATGTATTAACAATAGCACTAATACAAAAAAAGGGGTTCAAATATCTGAACAATATTTTCTGCTATGTTAATGACCCTTTACAAAAATTACAGAAAAAATAAAATAAAAGGTACTAAATGTATCCAACTATGACAACAAAGAAACAAGCACAAACAACACCGAAAATGATCATAGCAACAGTAACAACAAAAAGGCAGATATAGTCACTACTGACAAAGATGCTAAATTTTTTTTTTTATTATGATCTTCAGGTGACAACATCAAAGAATAAAACAACATGGACAGCATGATGAGCGGACACACCTTTGAGCAAGTCACCAGCTGGGGACAAATGTTGTGAGCGTTCCATCCGGTCCTCCAGGGAACTAAGTTGCAAACTGTTGCGTTTGGCATTCTTTCTGTCAATTAGCAGAACAGCAGAGTTGCCCCTTGCAGCTGAGACACTGCCAAGAAGTCTATCTACAACTAAAGAACAGACACACAGATGGTAAGGAACTATGACTCAAACCTGAAAATTAATTAGGGGTGTGGGGTATTCAAAAACAAAACGGCAAAAAAAAAAAAAAATAATTACAGTACAACCCCATTATAACACAATCCTTGGGGTCCATATATTCATTATGGAACAAGTAGGGTGAAGCTAAATTGAGAGTCAAGAAAACTACTAATACAAACAATAAAAGAAAATCAAAAACAAAAAAACTGATCTGCATCAAAATTCAAATAAAATTAGAATTTCTCCACATTTGTTACTTTCTTTGACCATTATATATATATATATATATATATATATATATGCACATTTGATTAAAAACCAATGGAAGTTATTTCTTGAATTTTTATTAATTACTTTTTCAGTATTTCTAATTTTTTTTTTTTTAACTTCTTGTTGGTATTGGTAAATAAAATTTAATTTTAGCTAACACAAGCCATTTTCAAAAATGGCTGTTATGTCACAATTTTAATTTTTTTTTTTTTAAATGTTGCATTCTGCCTGTTGGCTTTTATCGAGTTGTTTTGCGTATTCACATGGGAGTTTATGTTTTACTTTTTCTTACATTATATTCATTAAAATCTTAATCTCAAGTCTAGCATTAACCATTATCTATCACATTCTCATAATCTGCACTTAAGCCTATATAACAACCTTGTTTCATAAGCTCCTACCATGACTAGCTCTTGGGTAAACATTTATTAAAATAATTAACCATTATTAGTCTTAATGCATGACGTAAGAGTTTTTTTTTTCTCCATTTTGTCATTTTAATTATCTACATAAACACATTTCAAAATTTCTATAAATTGCTGCATACAAGTTGACCTCAAGATTTTAACTCAAAATTCTACCATATAGGTCAACTCCAAATCCCATGATAAGCTATAGTATACCAAAACTATATCAGATCACATCACTTACCTGTACATTTTGACACTAACTGTAATATCTTTTTGTATGCATTGTATAGCAAACAACTTACAACACAAACTGGTAGCTACCATATACTGTATCGGTCTAACTTACCAAACATTTAAAATTTGTGAGGTCAATAAACACATTAAAGTCAACATCAAAACCTATAAAATTACAAATCATACCAAGTAGTTTTTTTTTATAGTACTGCTACGAATTGTATGTTATTGTAAAACATTATCACTTATCCGCCATTTGTATCAGTGATGTAAACAAGCAACTAGTGATGCTACAAATCTGTGTTAATATGCCAAATATATTCAAACAAGTTTTAGTGGGATATATTTGGGGGAGCCCACTGGATGTATAGTAAATGGTGTACAGTAATTGTTAGGAGTGCTCACGTATTTGTTTACAACTTGTTGGTAAAAGGTTTGCATTTTATCCCTACCATATAAGTTGACGCATTGTTTTGGAAAGACATTTTGAGGCTTAAAAACTCGACTTGTACACTGTAATTTATGGCATTTCACATCCACTGAAATTTATCAAAATGTCATTTTAAAATGAAGTCACTTAAAGGTCTAGTGTTCTTCTCAGTACTCATAAAAAAAACAAAAAAAAAAAAAACTTACCTGATGGGTGCCTGAAGCCATTGGCATCAGTGGATGCCCGTGTAACATCTGACTGTTGGATGGTAGAAAGACGAAGATGTTCGAGTTCTGCCAAATGACTAGGGTAGCGTCGATCCCCAAGCGGGTCAGGAAGTGTGCGTTCAACTGGGAGATCAAGAGGCCCTGGACGGTGGTGGATTCGTCGGTCATCAGTCCGAAGCTCTAGTCAAAAAAAAAAAATACTTAAAAAATAAAACTAATGAACAAATAACATTTTCTTCAATGTATGAAATGATCAATCTGCTATGTCCCTTCAGGATGTTGGTGATCATGCCTCTCTACAATTTTCTGTCCTTTATTTATGGGGACACATTTTGGGCATGAAATGATTGGGAAAATTCTTGAACAGGCACTTCTCAACCCTGTGGGAGTGATGGTGAAATAATATGACCAGTGCTTCAATCCAGAGCTTCATTGTAATATCCAGTACTACAATAGAAATATTGACACTGATATGCGAAAAATAGAGCAACACTATCAGGAAACTAGGTATGTCAATGGGGTACATGTAAAGTACCATGTTCACCTGACCACAGTGCACTTTTTCATATCTCAGATTAGAAGCTATCATTTTAATGCTCTCAATATTCAAGATGACAGAGAGTAATAACATTTGGTACACAGCATATAACATTAAATTTGGTCAGCTTCACAGCCTCACACGTGTTCTCAAATACCTGACGCACCTTACATCCTTGTTTTAAATTTAGTATATTTAGGAAAGGAAAAGTGCTCAGTATCAGAGTAATTTATAGGGACCAAAACCACATTCAAGCCTCAAACTATCAAGCAAAGATCTCATGAGACATGAAACTTGACACTTACTATACAGGGTTGGTGTGTGTGTGTGTGTGTGTGTGTGTGTGTGTGTGTGTGTGTGTGTATATATATATATATATATGTATGTATATGTGTGTGTGTGTGTGTGTGTGTGTGTGTGTGAATTGAAACTAAATGTTGATTAAATCTGACAGAATGATAAAAGAAACAAATAGGAAAAGTTTATAAATTTAACATTTCACTTTTGTTTAAGATTAAGAAGCTTAAATACAAGTAAATCATGTTTAATTTGTAAACATTTCCTATTTTTTCCTTATTTTATGAGATATATATCTGTGTGTATGTTTAGACAGCAAATTCTTTTTTAGGCATGTCAGATTCAATAAATTACAAACATTATGTCTGCTTATTTTGATCATAATCCTTTCATATTCATGAATATTTTTCCATATATTACAATTACATTTCTTGCCTTATTTGATTGTACTATACGGAAAAATTTTCATGAATATGAAAGGATTATGATAAAAATAAGCAGACATAATCTTTGTAATTTATTCAATGCCTAATTATGTGTGTGTGTGTGTAAATATTGACATATATTCATACATGACTCAAACAACTGAAAACTTAAAATTATTAAGATTTTTTTTTTTTTTTTTTTACAAGCTAAAAAAAATTTTCATAAAAGGTAATAAAAAGACAGTCTTGTTTACTACACACTGATGACTATGAGACTAGTATATTTGGTGTCCATGTTTCTACAAGGAAATAGAAAATTGCATTCTTAATAGCTGCCATGCTTATTGGACAGAATATAGAATGTCATAAAGAAATAGCTGCAATTTTTTTAAATTTTATTCTTAAAGGGCAAATCTAATTATTTCAAACAACAGATAACAAAGTTTTTAAAAGAATTCTTTGTTTACCAACAAGAAAGATGACAAGGACAATGATGATGAAGTCAGGAAGTTGAAGACATGCAAAATGCAACTGAGGTGCCATAACAAGAAATAAATCAAAAGAAAAAAAAAAAAGGGAGATTTTTCTTTAATTACTTTTCGATTACCAGGGCAAAAAGACTCAAGGCAAAAAAAAAAAAAAAATTTTTAGGCAAAAAAGCAGCTGAATGAAGATGATTAATGAAAATAAAGACTGAGGTTGTGTACTGGTGTTAAATGATGAAATGGCAACTTTAAAGATTAAGGTGAGAAGAGGGGGAAGAGAATAAAAAGGAAAAGGGAGAAAGATGCAAAAAATGGGAAAAGAGGAGAGACAAATGAAGATAGGATAGAAAAAAAGAGGCAAAAGAAAAAAGAAGAAAAGGAAAAACAAGAAGAAAAAAGAAGAAAAGGAAAAACAAGAAGAAAAAAGAAGAAAAGGAAAAACAAGAAGAAAAAAGAAGAAATGGAAAAACAAGAAGAAAAAAGAGAAAAAGGAAAAGAAGAAGAAAAAAGAAGCAAAGGAAAAGAAGAAGAAAAAAGAAGCAAAGGAAAAGAAGAAGTAAAAAGAGGCAAAGGAAAAGAAGACAAAAAGAGTGGGAAGTGATGAAAAGGAAGGAAGTAGAGTAAAAGAATAGAAAACAAAAAAGAAAGAAGGATAAAAGTAGTGAAATGAAGAAATAAAAATAAGAATTGGTTTCTCCTTTTAAATGTTAAATAATGTCATCAATAACTGGCACTCATTTTTTTTCATAGTGTAAAATATGCATGACATAACAGGGAACACTTCAAAATGGAGATGAAGAAATAATGAACAAAAAGAAAGAACAGGTTCATGAGAGAGGAGGAAATATTGAAAGGAAAGACACAGGGAAAGTGTGCGACAAGAACGGAGGAAAGAGACAGGGGGAGAGCGAGCAGCGAGAACGGAGGAAAGAGACAGGGGAGAGACGAAAATGGAAAGAGAGAACGGAGGAAACGGAGAGAGAGAGAGGAGAGCAAGGACGAAAACGGAGGAAAGAGAGAGAGAGGGAGAGCAAGCGACGAAAACGGAGGAAAGAGAGAGAGAGGGAGAGCAAGCGACGAAAACGGAGGAAAGAGAGAGAGAGGGAGAGCAAGCGACGAGAACGGAGGAAAGAGAGAGAGAGGGAGAGCAAGCGACGAGAACGGAGGAAAGAGAGAGAGAGGGGAGAGAATGGAGGAAAAGGACGAGAACGGAGGAAAGAGAGAGAGAGAGGGAGAGCAAGCGACGAGAACGGAGGAAAGAGAGAGAGAGGGAGAGAGAGAGGACGAGAACGGAGGAAAGAGAGAGAGAGGGAGAGCAAGGATGAGAACGGAGGAAAGAGAGAGAGAGAGGGGAGAGCAAGAATGGAGGACGAGAATGGAGGAAAGAGAGAGAGAGAGGGAGAGCAAGGACGAGAACGGAGGAAAAGAGAGAGAGAGGGAGAGCAAGCGACAAGAACGGAGGAAGAGAGAGAGAGAGAGGGAGAGAGAAGAGACGAGAATGGAGGAAAGAGAGAGAGAGAGGGAGAGCAAGGACGAGAATGGAGGAAAGAGAGAGAGAGAGGGAGAGCAAGGACGAGAACGGAGGAAAGAGAGAGAGAGGGAGAGCAAGGACGAAAACAGAGGAAAGAGAGAGAGAGAGGGAGAGCAAGGACGAGAACGGAGGAAAGAGAGAGAGAGGGAATGCAAGCGACGAGAACGGAGGAAAGAGAGAGAGAGGGAATGCAAGCGACGAGAACGGAGGAAAGAGAGAGAGAGGGAGAGCAAGCGACGAGAACGGAGGAAAGAGAGGCAAACCAACAGAAAGGTCAGAAAAAGTCAGAAACAGATAAATAAAGTTGAGAATAGTAAATGCTGATAGAGATTGAAATGAGAGAAGGAGAGAAAGAGAGAGAGAAAGTATCGCCAGAAATGAGAAAAGGAAATCTTAAGGAAAAGAAAAGAATGAAATCAATGGAGACCAAGAGAGAGAAAGGAGAAGGCAAGAGAGAGAAAGGAGAAGGCAAGAGAGAGAAAGGAGAAGGCAAGAGAGAGAAAGGAGAAGAGGAGAAACCAAGAAAGAAAGATTGGAAAAGAAAAAAAATAGTAAAAGAGTGTCCCCAAAAGCCTAAAAACAATCTTTATAGCCCAAAGCTTTTCTTTCTTTCTTTTTTTACCTGATTATAACAAACCATAATTCCCTCTATGGCTTTATCTGAAGCTAAGATGCAATCTATATCCATAGAGATCGTCTTAAAAAAAATACATCAATTATAAATATTCCAAGAATTCCTCAGGCAGATATATTTACCATGATTGCTAACTTAAAATCCCAACACACACACACACATGTGTGTGTGTGTATATATATATATATATATATATATATATATATATATATATATATATATATCATCCAACATCTTTAGATTTGCATCACAAAACAAATTACCATTGATACTTTCTGACACCTTGGGTACTACACGCCACATTGATCGTCAATAACAACATTATTTTGTTGTCAAGTGATCTCCCTTTAGATAGGAATTTTTCCACATAATTTTTAAGTGTTCAACAAGCAGGTTCTCCAATGAAATTGGTGAAAGAAAAAGAAAAAAAAAAAGCTCTTTACTGAAGCCAGTGCACACACAGACACAAATTTGAATTTTGAACATTTCAGAACTCTGCTAAATCTGCAGCAGTTTACTTTTATTACTGTAAAACTCCAAACCATCTACAAGAATCTATTGCATACAATGAAAATGTTTACATGAGTTTGAAGCTTATTGTAATTGTTGCCAGTGGTGATGTAGAAAACTTAAAGAGAAAATCAGAGTGAGAAGAACAATGACAAGAGAAAAAAAAAAAGAGTTCAAGTGAGAAGAACAAGGAGAGCAATGTGTGAGGAGGAGAGCAAGAGGAGGAGGAGAGCAAGAGGAGGAGGAGAGCAAGAGGAGAGCAATGTGTGAGGAGGAGGAGAGCAAGAGAAGGAGAGCAAGAGAAGGAGAGCAAGAGAAGGAGAGCAAGAGAAGGAGAGCAATGTGTGAGGAGGAGAGCAAGAGAAGGAGAGCAATGTGTGAGGAGGAGAGCAAGAGAAGGAGAGCAATGTGTGAGAAGGAGAGCAAGAGAAGGAGAGCAAGAGAAGGAAAATGGTGAGGAGGAGAGAGAGAAGGAGAGCAAGAGAAGGAGAGGAGAGTGAGGAGGATGCAAGAGAAGGAGAGCAATGTGGAGGGGAGACAAGAGGAAAAAAGTGAAAGGAAGAGAAACAGCATGTGAAGGAGAGTGAAATGCTGAGTAGAGTAAAGGGAGGGAGACAGTGAGTGAAGGGGAAAGCAAAGATGGAGAGACAGAGTGAGAGGGAAAGCAAAGGATGGAGAGATGGAGTGAGAGGGAAAGCAAAGGATGGAGAGACAGTATAAGGGGGAGAATGAGGTAGGAAACAAAGCGAGAAGGAGAGCAAGAAGCGAAGAAGAGTGTGATAGTGTAATAAATTTTTAAAAAAGAAGAACATAAAGAGAGAGAGAGAGCGAGAGAGAGAGGAGAACATGAAAACATCCGCCACCAAACACAATGTCATGGCTTCAATTGGGGGCATCTGCTCCAATTTTCTTTTGATAAACCTGCCAACACAAAAGAAACTGATTTGGTGTTTGGCTTTAAAGGCTTTTGTTTCACGAAAGGAAATCAAGACTTCTTAACCATATGGCAAGGCCTCTTCACCCTCACAACACACTCAGGGTTGTTGAATCAGAGACTTTAAACCCCACTGACCCTCTTGTAGAAATGAAAAGAAAGAGAGAGAGAGAGAGAGAGAGAGAGTGAGAGAGAAGGCAGGGGAATTGGATCATATGAATGAGTGGTTCAAGCACTTGAGTTATCGATAAGTTAGTGTCCACTGGCCTCTATAAAAGCCGCTACTTCCCAGTTAAAGAAAAAGATCAATATGAATTTGAGATGGGCGAAAAGAATGCAAAACAAGGAACAAAGGTTGTGATAACAGTCACACTTAAAACCAGCTAAAGATCTTAGACAGTGACTTAGAGCCTCAAAATCTCACATGGGGGTGGGGAAAAAAAAGAACACCACCTTAAAAGCTCATGCTCACATCTTACTTATAGAATACACCACAATTATTTGTATATTTCTGCAACATTTTGCTTAAAAGGGAAACTCTAAAGATATTATTATTTTAAAATTATCTCCAGAACCAGAGAAACCGGGTGGCAGTGTCTTTGTTAAAGCAATGGCATATTGTCCCAAAAGGTTTACGAAGCTGAGAAGTAAAAATCCCAAAAATAATAATTAGAAAAATATATTTAAATGTTCAGATAAGAGAACCAAGTAATAATAAGTACATAACAAAATATGCTGTTATTTTTAATGGTATAGATTTACTAGTACTAATAGAAGATATAAAATGGGAGATTGTTATTAAGTAATGCACTCACTCTCTCATAATTACTACATATTAATATAATAATTAGAAAATATATTTAATGACTCACATATGAAAATCCAATGACAGTATGTATTTAACAAAATGTCAGTTTCATACATGCTGTGATTTTTGTTCACCTGGGTAAAGTATTTTAATAAACAAGTCACTTTGCACTGCCTGCCCTTTCTATTTCCTTACCAGATTTCAACTTTTGGGATTAATTATTCTACCAGTTACTCGGACGTAGTATCCTCATGCTTGTTATTATCACATTTTGGCCAATGTAGTTCAAAATGTGATAATAAGGATGAGGATACTGAAATAATCACTGTGTCTGATGGGACATGAAAGGTGTCGTTCATTACGAGCTACTGTAAAATGGAAGGACTATCACTGCATATGTTTATTGCCAACAACTTGATCGGATAAACAGAGCATCATGTCAACAAAAAAAAAGAAAAAAAAGTGACATTCCTTCAGTTATGTGCCATGCATGATACGCACTTAGGCAATCATTTATCTTTTGATACATGACTGACGAGGCAGATTTTTTCCACACAGTAGGTTGCCATTTTTTTCTGCGGTAGACCAGTTGCAATCCAAGGCTACAGAACCCGGTCTGTCCTGTTATTTACCCATAGCTGGTGGGAGAAGAAGAGGATTCATACCTTTCCCAAGGGTATTAGCAGATATGTGAATGTAATGGATTCAACTGAAATTCAAACTCGGCTCTCCGATTCCTCAATCGGAGCCGCTATCTATTACACCGCCATGCCTCCTTAGTAAACAAAAAATGTGCTATTCTCAAGGATAACATTGCAAGGACAAACTCTGCAAAATAACCCCCAGAAAAAAATAAAACCGTTAATACAAGTATTTAAAAACAAATATTCACTGGAATATTTCATTGACAGAGCATTCAATGGCAAAGAAGTTTAAAGTGGACTTTTGGTTTTTTTTCTTTTTTCAGTTGTGGGAAAATCGCAAAAAAGGAATCATTTTCTGAACACCTTAATACATACTGGCCAAAATATCATGTTAACAAGGATGATAGCTGAATTTCTAGGATGATGAGAACTTAATATATACATGCAGACTATTGACCTCATCTTTGTTATCACAACATTTCGGCCATTATGCTTTCTGGCCTTCATCAGTAGATATCTCTCGACATGGGCAGTGGACTGCCTAGATGTTTCCAAAGTTTTGCAAGTCCAAAGTAAAGAATACTGTAGGTATAAAAGGGTGAAGAAATCATATCCATGACTCACAACATACAACTGTCTTCTTCACCAACAGAGAAAAGAGAATCTTCCCATTACCCAAAGTAGCATTCTTTTATTGGGGGTAAGGAAGGTGGTGATTGGTTATCGTATTTCAAGGGCTTCCTAAAACTAAGGCCCAATCATGTGTTTGATTTTCTTTTTCAACAAACAGCCTAGAGAATACAAATTCTATTTCAACATAGGACTTGCTTTTCTCCTCTGCTGTCGACACACCAGTTACAAAAAAAAAAGTCTTCTTCTGTCTTAACATTAGCCAGCGACAAACACCGACTCAAACATACCACAATATTCCTAACACCAAAACAACACATTCTTACCTTTCTTACTACATTCACCATAATACCTCATTGTCTTTATGAAAGTCCTAACTAGTCCACATATGTACAATTCATTGTCTGTGGGCGGGGGAAGGGGAATAAAACAACAAATAGTGAAAAGCTTGTTCAAACAATTACCATAAAAATATTTATAGAAAAAGCAAAGGGAGGCAACCTTATGGCAGTAGCAAGTGACTGAAGCTGAGTCACCTGATCTTAAAATTAGACTTTAAAAAAAAAAAAAAAAAAATAGCTAAATAAAGGTTAAAAAAAAAAAAAATGCACACAAATATGGTGATAAAACTCGGAATAATGACTTTGGCCAAACGTATTTAATCCACTGCACACTTAGAATTAAAATACAAATGATAAATAATATTTAAATAATAAATTTAACTTTCTATATCTAATCTGGTAAAATGGAATTATTTTCCAAACACCCAAATACATTCCAGTCAAAATCTCAGGATATTAACAAGGATGATATCTGAATTTCTAGGATGAACAGAAATCCTTTTTCAACATAAGACTTGCTTTTCTCCTCTGTCGTCGACACACCAGTTACAAAAAAAAAAAAAAAAGAACCCAGATTTCTTTAATCCTAGATACAAAACATTTGCCTTTCTATTGGACTGTGGTTGTTAAAAATATATGTGATTACATTTTTGATAAATAATATTTATCTTAGATTTCTTTTTATATCCAATCTGTTAAAATGGGATTATTTTCCAAACACCTAAATACATTCTGGCCAAATCTCATGATATTAACAAGGATGATATCTGAATTTCTAGGATGAGAATTTATCATTATTTACATACAGATTATTGTCTTCATCTTTGTTGTTGTTGTTGTCATCACAATGTTTCAACTGCTGTGCCCTCTGAGGAATTCTATATTTATGGGAAAGAGTGTTCAACAGAAGAAATAAAACATTTGAAGATCCATTTAGGCATAAAACTGACAATCACCACTCAGTGTTGATTTCTATGTCCACACACATATATATATATATATATATATATATATATATATATATATATATATAACTAGAAATATCTCTGAAAATTTCACGGTTTTCTTATTGGAATTTGATAAAACTAATAGAGTTAATGACTGAATAAACTCAGTGAGTTCTATGACAATAAATTATCCGTATAAATTCCCCCATTGCATCATTAAGTATTTGAGCTTAACAACCATTTTCTATTTCCCTGAAACAGACCTTAAACACTTCTATCTTTTCTTTCTTTCACTGAAAGCGTCTGATATGTTTTTCTGTCTTACCACATGATCAAAGTGAAATATTCCGCTATTTATGAGGTATTGGCAACAGATGTTAAACTCTTTCTTACATTTTCTCACTGAAACCGAGTAGTATTTTTTATGTCTTTTCCATCTTTCCAAATGATCAAAACGGAGTAGTCCATTATTTATGAGGTATTGGCAAGGCGTAACGGTCATGCTAACTAAGAAAGTATGAGACATGCAGAGTTATTATTATTATTATTATTATTATTGAGAAGATGGTAGACATTTGGCACTTCTCAAACCCTGCTTAGATGCTAACTGTTTCTAACTCTCCTTAAAGCAGTTTGATATGTATATAAACTGTTCTAGGAAAAAAAAACCCACTGATGTCATATTGAAAAGAGGAAATAAAACAAACAATGAGAACCTTTTATGTAGATAATGATCTACCTTTGTCTTTCAGTGGAGACATGGTGGTGGGAGGGGGAATTCTAGCAATAGAAGGTAAGTCCAAAATATGAATAATGTACAACGTTATCAGGTATTATACTAAAAAAAAAAAAAAAAAAAAAAAAATTTTTTTTTTTTTTTTAAAATGATTGTTTTATTGCAGAATAACAGAAATTGGACAGTGTCCAGAAATTCTAATTTTAAATTATTCTAAATTATAAGTCTGCATTTTCATACATTTTTCTTTCTTTACTCAAAAAGAGAGTAACAGTTATCAAGTGGTAAATTATGGCCAGGCCTCCATTCTGTCATCAAAGTAATGTTTAGAAAACAGACTCCTAATTTATTATAGAAATGGGTTCAAAGGAAAGTATAACACATGCGTATATATTTTTTTTTTTAATAATTTCACAAAAGCCTCCAAAACGCAGGGTGTAACTGAGTTTGTATGAAAGAATATAAGAAAAGACATTATTAAGAAGAGAGAAGATAATGACCGACATTACATTTTAATTTTTGAAGATCAAACTTGACTGTAAAACAAGGAACAAGGAGAGAGTAGAGAGAAAGCAAAAGAAAAAAAAAGCAAAGTCGAGAGGGAAAAAAAAAAAAGCAAAGTCGAGAGAAGAGAAAAGCAAAGTGGAGAGAGAGAAAAGCAAAGTGGAGAGAGAGAAAAGCAAAGTGGAGAGAGAGAGACAGTGGAAGTAAAATGGAGAGAAAGAAAAGTAAAAAGAGAGTGAATAACAAAGGGGAGACTGAATAAAAAAATGTGAAAAAAAAAAAAAGAAGTAAGAAAAGGATTTTTTAAAAAAG